AGAACTGAAAATACAACCAGTAATAAAAACTTCTGTGAAGTTTAGACACAACTTACTAAAATCCTTTTATTTGGGACACTTAAATAACTGATTCCTAGATTCCTAATGTTTCCCAGGAAATTGAAGATTACAAGTGACCTCAGATCCTTGGTAACATCTCCACAGCACAAAACTACAAGGACATTCTCCCTCCTTTACCATTCCGATGGCTTAATGTAACCATTCCCCCCAAAATGAATTTTTTAAAAATTTAAGCAATAATTTTGCCAAGGAAGATTTGAAAAAGGAGATCTTATTAAGTGAAAATGCAAACAGACCAGTTTTATCTGTAAATCTAAAATGTTAAAAGAGATCATCTCACATTTCCACCACAAGCCTTTGATAGAACATCACTACCCCCTTGTGGATTAGCAATAAAAAATCCTTATCTTCTATCTTCACTTTTTAAATGTTTCATTCTGCTGAACTTCCATTAAGAGTTTACATTTTCTTCACTAAGAAGGGTTATTTTATTTCAATTACTTTTTAAAAAGAGAAAAAACACTTAACATTTGAAAATAAGCAATCCCATCAACTTCTTTATCTTCCGAGCAGCCCCATTTGGAGAGTTCTTCGTATAACAGGGATAGTTGCCGATTTCAACAGGGCAAGCACATCCACGTTCCATTCTTCCCGAGAATACCTGAATTGACACTCCCAATCATCACTTGGAGATTATTTTTAACGATAAATGGGTACTTTCTTCACTAGTGCATCTTTTTTCTTTCTATTTGATAATTTCACACACTGTAACAATTTATTTTTATCGCTTCCAAATGGTTTCATATCCAAGTGCCCCAGAAAACCAATGGGGCACACACATCCTCAGAAATAACTTTTCAGACAAGGACTGAAAACCAAATCTAAGTTTTAAAAGATTAATTCTCGATTGTATTGCTGTGCCTTCAGAAACACTTCCTGGCACTCTCAAGCAACCCTGCTGAAGAAGAAAAACAGGTAAAACCTTCTTCAAAACTGAAAAAAACCCTTTGTTTTTCTTTCTTTCTTTTCTTTAATTTTAGTTGCAGGAGTACCATTCTAATACAACACAGAGATACATCTTGCTAAACAAATAGTGTAAAAAAGATGAAATAAACTTAAACATCTGGGTTTCCTATCATGTATGTGTTACCGACACGAGGTTTAGCTGAAAGTATAAATCATCTCCACAGTCACATACAGGCCAGAGAGACCGTCTGAGTCCCAACTTGTCAGCCTGCGCTGTTGGGAGTGAGTTCCCCATTTCCTCACAGGCGCTGGACACAAAAGCAGGGACACAGTCATTTACTATTACTATGACAAGCCACAGCCCATATTCTTTCCAACGGGGAGGTGGGAACAAAGGAGGAAAAATGATTCACTCTGCAAGTGTTTTTAAGTGACTAAATACATAATCTTACCTTCTGGTAACTGATAAGGAAAAATGGAGACAATGCCTAGTCTATTCAATGCCTGACGCTGTGTTCCAAAAGGCTTTTCACATGTCAACCTGTGAAGACCGCAGGTACAAAAGTATCAATTCAGCAGCATGTCCAAAGCTGGCGGGGCAGGGGCGGTACGGGGAGCAGAGCAGTTGGGCGGGCCTGCCCGGCTTGCCTTGCTGGGGTTTTGTTAGGATTGTTGTTTCTGGATTTTTTTATTTTTTTTTGAGAAGGCAGGGAGAGATTTTAGATGACATGAGGAAGTGAGATCAGTGTGAGAGGAATGGTCTCCAGGTGGTGACATGTTTAAACGGTTAAGAACTCAGTCCCAAATGTTTCCTTCCGGCATGTCACTGCGCACTTGTAACTACAAGCCACACGGCAGAGCGCAGAGGAGGAGCACAGCCCCACACCAGCCGTCGCCCTCGCAGTCACCCTCCGCTAACACTCCTGGGAAGGAACACAGTACAGTACATGACTCGGAAGGCCTGGCTCAGTCTGAACAAATAAAATAAAAAAAAGGACTCTATAAGAGAACATGCAACCCTACCAGAAAGAAACAAAACACAGGGTGAACCCAGAAGAAACATTTAAAAAATATCTCTGGTCATCCCACCTATGATGTCAATCAGTTGAAAGCAAATGAACAATCCTCTGAAAAAAGTGAGAAGAGAAGGAATGTGGCTGACACTTGGCCTCTGCTTGCAGTGGGTACATAATATTTCTCTTTTGGTCCAGGGTAATGAGCTAAAAAATGCTCAGGAAGCATTACCAACCTTTACACACGGAGGCCCATGACCTTCTACAAGCAATGGCGTTCAAAGCGGAGAGACGCAATACAACCTGAGAAGCACACAGCCAGCATACTGATGGGAAAGAAGGAGAAAAGAAAAGAAAACCTTGCTTTGTCTCACCACGGAAAAAATGGGGACTGCTGTCCACTGTCAATACATACAGAAAAACATTCTGCCTACAGATACATGACAAGTATCATGGGATGGAAGACCATCTATATGTTTACCAGCCCCGCTTTCTAACGACAGATAGTCACACGTCTTAACACAGGACTGATGGCTCCACATCCACTGATGGCACACAACACAAGTGTCTCCTTAGCCCAGGGGTGGGCAAACTTTTTGACTCGAGGGCCACAATGGGTTCTTAAACTGGACCGGAGGGCCGGAACAAAAGCATGGATGGAGTGTTTGTGTGAACTAATATAAATTCAAAGTAAACATCATTACATAAAAGGGTACGGTCTTTTTTTTTTTAGTTTTATTCATTTCAAACGGGCTGGATCCGGCCCGCGGGCCGTAGTTTGCCCACGGCTGCCTTAGCCTATATCCAAACCTGATTAGGTACCAAAAAAAACTACATTACACACTACAATCTGGAAATAGAGTGAATGACCATGCACTCTTACTCATGTTACCTGGACAAGGAAGTAGAGGGTGAGAACACTTCTCATTCAAGCACACAAAAACTATACAGATAGTACCTTAACAGGCCAAGGAGCATCAGAAGACCCCACACGTCCTGGTGAATGAAGACCCCAAATGAGTAGTACACTTGTTGGCTGTGCCCAAAGAAATTTACCATTGTCAGGCCAAAGAGACAGAAGGATGGCTAAATGAGGCAAAAACAAATTTCCAAAACCTACACGAGGCCCTGAGAGATGCCTGAAGGACACAGTGTTCCGCCCCGGAAGAATGCCGTTACAGATATTACCATCACCCCTCCACCTTGTGGCTTAAACCCACCCCATCACCCTAAACTCAGGGAAACAAGAAGTAACACTGCCTCTTACTACAGGACAAAAGAAACGAGGGGCATCCCTCTTTACTGAATGATAGGCTATGAATACAGTAGAGCTACAATTACTCTCTTATAATAATGATGATGGCAAGGGCAATAAAGAAATCTCTTTATGTGGGAAAGGGAAATAGGATTGAAATCATCTAGAAAAAAAAAATGAGCATGGTAAGTGATTCTAGAAGATACCGAACATTTTAAGAAATGATCTGTTTTAATGGAAATACAAAAGAAACACATATTGCATGTCACCACAAAAAATATTCAGCCACATGTTCACATGAATAAAGGACTGCCAAACCACAGACTACAACGATCCTCAACAAGAGTTCTTCTTAAGAGTGGAATACTAGCAGAACTGGTTTCTGCAGACATAGTGGAAGTTAAATCTGATTTAACATAGAAGAAAAAGAAAAAGCGCATTTCAGGTCAATTCTTTACCATTGTTGTCATCATTATGTATACCATACCTGCATCCAAAAATAATCTGAGGCTATTTACCAAAAGAGGAGGAGGAAGTACAAATAACAGTGCCATTTTAAAGTGTAAAGTATTAAAAGTCACATAATAAACAAAAGCAGTGATGATTATACCAGAAACCTAGCCTAAGAATGGTCACCACAATTAGGCATTAAGTTTGGATACAATATTCCAGGCAGTGAAAATGTAACAGCAGTTCAAGTCGTTCTTACTATCTGATAGTATGAAACATCTCAGGTAATCATAAGAGAAAATCATTTTTCTCTATCACTTCCTTCTGTAAAGGGTGCATTTGATTTCATGTCCTATACAATACCCCGAATTGGTGCTGTTCAAATGTTAAACAGGCACTCCAACCAACCATATATCCAAATGACCTAAAAGTTATGCCTACACATTTAAAAAGAAGGCTGACTTTACTTTTTTCTATACACACAGATACACACACACATGCACAGGCACAGTCTGAGAGAAAACTGTCAAATGTCTCTCCAGAGGTGCCCTCCACCCTCCCCACTCCCGCAGGGCTGGAAGAGCTCAATGGAATAGTACACTATTAGAGTCTATTTTTGTATGATGATAATCCAAATAATTAAAATACAGAAAAGAATTCCTTACAAGATTATATAAAAAGACAAGGACAAGATACACTGAAATGTCATTTGTATTAAAAGGCTAACAAGACCCCTATGGCCTCAGGTAGTCAGATACCCCCTCCCCAGATCCTCGCATACAACAGCTCAGTACACGTCTCTGGAATGAATGCGCTCAGTGATGGAAATATGGAGTAAAAACAACTTCCTCCAAAATAACAAATTCAAGGGTCCCCCAAAGGAGGCAACAGGCACAGTGAGGGGAAAGGAAGGGAACACGAGAATCACCTTCTGTTGCTTTTCCCATAAGGAAATTAGAAAGGAGTACAACTGTACACAAAGACATCCTTCCTCCAGACCTTAGGAAACAGGAAACAAAGACTGGCCCAAAGGAATGAAGAAGTGGGGAAAGCCACCATATGGGCTACCTCACAACCAGTCAGAAAGAATTATAATCCCACCAGCACATGGGCACACCGAGGATAAACAGAGGACTAAAACAATGCCACTTGACCCCAAAGAATAGGCTATTTTAGGGGGAAAGCCTAAAAACTAAAGAAATGGAAAAACACACATAAGCAGGATATATAAATATGTCTCAGAGCAAGCAAGAGCAACCCTCCCCTTCTGAAAGGAAAATCGGACCCAATCTGACCTTGAGCAGAGGTTGCTGTGACCACGTCAACATTCTGAATCCACTGAACGGTGAGATGGAGGAACCCGCATTTCCCAGATGCAGGATAAGCCAGGTCTTCGAGAAGACAAGGGAAGAGATCTTCCAGGGGCCACCCAACCTTGCCTGAAGAGCTGGGGGTACGTGGTTGTAGGGGAGGAGACAGTGATGGAGGTCAGGAGGACCCACCCAGCCTGACCAGCTACAAGAGAACAATCCCACTGGAAGAGCAGCAAAGCTGAGCTCCAATACTCTATGGGGACGGGGGACACAGAAGCACAACCGTATTGAACTCAAAGGAAAGAGCCTAACTTTCCACACTAACCTCCAGTGTGCTCTTCTGACCTTTACCATGTCCTTCCACTGCCCGTTGCATGGAGCCCCCGATTAGTACGGGAAACTCTCAAAGGCATCGGTGGGATGGAGTCGGCAGGCCAGGATCCACCACCGGAAGTGATGCCTCTACTGGGAAAACGCCAACACATACAGCAGGTTGTCACCTTGTTTTCCAAGGGTCAGTGATACTACACCCTAAAAGTATACAATTCCATCCAGCTGAGTACAGACACAGAGAGGACAAAAAACATAAGAACTCTAAAAGCCAAAAGAAAAGCAAATTGAGGTCAAAGCAGTACTGTGAGGCGATGGGTATCATGGCCGCCGGATAACTCAATATTAACTGAAGGGCCAGGCCCACAGTCAGTCGAAGCTGGCCAGCCCTCGGGCGGCCCTGTCTCCTCCTCCGTAGCCCAGGTGGAGTGTCCTTGCTAGAAAAGCGCTTGAAGGTCCAAATGCTTCGAGTCCGACAGAGCTTGCTGGGGAGGATGAGGCTCCAAACTCAGCCTGTCAAGAAGTGACAGCAGCTAGCAACCGTTCCAAGTTTTGTGAGGGAAGGAAGTGGGGGGACCGGGGGAGACTCACATCACTGCCCCTGCCCCGGAGCCAAGGGCAATCAGACAAATACACAAACTGTGACACTCAGGGAACACCTGGAGAACGTCCCTCCTGCCCTGTCACGAAGTGTCACAGGCCCTCCCAAAAGTACCTTGTCCTAATGTACACAACCTCTCTCAATTATTTAAATGGCCAAAATAAAACAGCGACATATTTATGGCCGTTCACTTCCAGTTCCGTCACAGAAACACATATTCTTCTCACCCACTCCTCTCGTTTGCCCCAAATACATGAAAATCTCTTTCCCCTACACGGCAGGGAAGACTTCAAGATGAGAACTTTTAACCCTATGCAGGACCAATCCGAGAACACCGCTCCTGGATTCCAAATGCCTAAGTTTGGGTGAGCATCGGAAAGCCCTCTGCACTTTACATGAACATTCAGGATGTCATTCTGCTTATTCAGTTCAGTACAAATGAGAAATGAAAGAGTGGTAAGAACTGGCCATTTATCAATGAGTCTTCCCATTCTCTAAGCTTGAAGAGTTACCAATATGTGTGTGTGTATACATATATATATACACATATGTATATACGTGTGTGTGTGTGTGTGTGTGTGTGTATATATATATA